TAATTATGTTATTTCACAATATCATTATTTAGTGTTATGTTCAATCGTCCGTCGGTCTGCAATCTACGGATCGGCAACGACTGCAGGAGTGTAAGAAATAATAACGAAATAATAATATTATAAGACACAACGATTAACGATAATCAATGCGACGAGGACAACGACCACGATGACGCGGCGGGGAAGAAATTCGTAATTTTTCTGGAACAAAAGTCAATTAAAAACGTCCTCGGCGTAACGGCCGCCCGCGCGTCATCTCGATCTTACAACAACGGCATCAGCGGTGCGTGTATTATATTGTAGCCCGCGACTGTGTGCAGTGTGGTCGTGTGGTACATGAATATAATATATATATACATGTACACGGGGACGACGCCCGCCGCCGCGCGTGGAATAGCGTCAGAATTACTGAAGGCGCCGGACCGGCGGCGCACTTTGGCCTCAGCCGGATTACTTTTCTTTTCTTATTTATACATGTATATATATATATATATACACATCGCAGTTTTTTGTTACCCTTACATTTTCTTCTCTATACTCTTCACTTATTATTTTCTCTCCTTTCAAACGGAAAAAGGTTCTCTCGCTTTCCTCTTTATTTTCTTTTTCTTTTTCTTTTTTCTATCTTTTTTTTACTGTGTAAGAAACGCAAAAAGTATTATTCGGCGCATAAACTTGTTGGATTCGCACCCACATCCATACACACATACATACATACATCTAACAACAACAACATCACCAATGTATCCACAGCTATATATATATTTATATATATTACATTATATTTCGTGCTGGCCAACTTTTGATTAAAAACTTTCGGGATCTTTTTTTTTTATCGCCGTAAAATACGGACAGAAAAAAGAGCTGTCGTATATGCGGTCAACGAAAACGCCTTGAAAAAGTATTATTCCAGTGGGACGACCAGCGTTGTATAATATGGCATGGTAAGGTGTGTTACAACTTACGGAGTGAAGGGACTACGAATGTATAATGCAAATCGTACACTCAATTACAACCTATATGTAATAAAAACATACATATTTTCAGTCTGAAAAATAATATAGAGAGGTAAATGCATTGCATTTTTCAAACTATATGAACACCGATTATTTTTCTTCGAACGAATAATATATTTTATAATAATTGTATGCATATAAAATAAAAACTACCAATTTCATTAATATATATAATAGATTCCAACTTATGTATTATAGGTGAATACCTAGTAAATAAGTTAATTAGAATAATATTTTATTGAGAAATCACATTTTTGAGAAAACTGATTAATTTTAGTTTATTAAGTTCCAATAACAGAATTTTAGAATCATAATGTGCATAAATACAATAACAGCCAATATTTCAGTAATAATAAGCTCTATTCTAAATTAAAAAAATTAATAAAATAGAATAAACCGTACAACGAAAATTGTTTTAAAATAATGTATTTGAATAAGTGCTTGTTTCTTATAACATGTTTTTTAATACCACCTACTTAAATAAATTATTTCGTAACGACTATAACGACTAAAGCAGATTTTTTACGGCCAAATTTATTGCCCCTAATAGACGCGCACGACGGGATCATTAAAAAAATTATTTAATTACTAAAGTCATCATTGTCGGCATAACAACCAGTCAAGCTCAATTTGCTTGTTAAAATTTAAATGAATTACGGCCGACGAAGATGACGAAGAAAACGATTGCCGCTGAAGCGTATACGGCAGTGCACGGCGTCATGTCAAAACACGTTGAATGTAATATCAATCAAATGTAAGCATCATAACAATACTGATTCTGTAGGTCCATCGATATACAAATACCTACATAATCCGATTAATTAAAGGCTAGGAAAGACGTTTATTTTTCTTGAGATTCTTAGCTGTAGGTACAACAAATATTCGTAACGGATTTTGCGTCATCATATCAGCCACGCCTTTCCCCAAAACACATCATCGGTGATAGATAAACCCTATAGGCTTTAGTGCATGCATAACTATCTTTCGACCACCATGGTGAAATTTATATAATATAGCTGACTAATAATAGTGGATTTTCACGCAGAAGAAGAGCATTTGGCACGATCACAAAAACCGTAAAAAAAAATCAGCGAACGTTTTGCTGTACCTTATTAGAGCAGTGGGAGAAAAATCATAGTGGATATGGAGAGCAAAAAGATAGAGACGGAAAGACTTGCCAGAATGTCCTCCTATTAAGGATCGCTCATAAATCTCTGACGGGCTAGCCGCGCACTATTCTACATAATACCGTCACCGTACTGGACGTGAAATATTCAAATATATAACCAGTTACGATATATCACACATATACTGCACGATATCCGTATAATGTATACTATTATATGTACTGCCATATAATATGTGGTACTTGCAGGATAGAGTACATGATAAATATATATATATATATATATATATATATATGTATGTATCATATGTGAACATCCCGCGCTGATACTGCAGCACATATATAATCACTCAATCTTAACTGCAAATGGAATATAGGCACGCCATTCTATTACAACCATTTGTTTAACGTTTTTATCGTCGTCTACTACTGCGTGCAGCTGTATAATAATAATGTACGTTGTGTCTTCGGCGCGCTCAAAATTATTGGCCCGGTCATGCCAAAAACCGGAACGACATTATTGTTCCGATGAGGAGGGATAGGCGAAGGCGATAAAGGCGCGACGCGAGTTAAGAAAAAAAAGATACGCCTACCCATCGAGTGTTTGGCGTTTGGCAAAGGCTGACGCGACGACGACCGTTGTGTTATCACAGCTATATGCAGCAGTAGCAGTGGCGGCCGGACTCGTTCGGACCAATAAAAATGATTTACTAAATCGCGGGACGAACGACCAGAATAATATGCATTCTCTTGGCAGCACTCTCTTGATGCGGAAACTCGACTAAAAGCCCCGCCGTGACGAGAGATCTTAAAAATTAATTTTTTCCCGTTCAAAATATATTATATATAAAGCGATCATCGTAAATTTGACTTTCCACAACATGCGCATACATACATATATTATAGGTGTACATATATGATCGTAATGTACATTACATAACCTAACCTCGCGACAATGACGATTATAACGGAAGAAAGGTCTTATCTGCCGATTCACCTCCGGTTACCGTTCCTTGTCTATTTTATATATATATATACCATAGAATAGTGTGATGTTCGCGAGGAATGATCGTTAAGCGAACACGGAAGCCGACAGACCCTTACGCGGGGTATATATACTCACAAATATATACACAAGTGTTCCGCCTTGATTGTTTCGGTTGAGATTGACCAGCCCCCCCCCCTATCGTATCACGAAAATCGACAACGCTGATAGAGGTGTACGGCGGTGGTGTTAATGATCCTATTTTACACGCTCTCACCTAACCCACGAGAAACGTTTACGCGACTACCGTTTCGATGTCCTTATCCGATAACGGCGTAGAGGGATGGTGAAGTGATGACCGCAACAACAGGACCCGAAAATGGTTTCGATCGCGCACCGTGTGTAACGAATGTGTCCCCGGAGACATGGCGTACGCGAAGGTTCGAGTCCGCACCGCGGAGAGATTTTGATTAAAAGTATGTGCGACGGAGGAGTATACAGTATACTCGTATAAACGGAGTATGATGTATAAAAATCTCCCAGCCCGCCGCCGCTGCCGTTTATATATATATATACATTCGCTCAAAGAGAAAATTAAATAATAAAAAGAAAGCGATACTGCGAAAATGTTTAGCGGCAGGCGATTCTCGGAGTTTGCGTCCGTAAAAGAAAAAAGAGCGTATTTTTACTTATTTCTCTAGCGCTTATACATTTTTTTTTTTTTTTTTATTATCGGCAATAAAAGTGTGTCGGACGCGATAATCCTGCAGGAGAAGTCGAATCGCCGTGCGGTCGCGCGTTTATTTTTATTACGTCATCTTTGTCATTGGGGCCTAATGGAAAATTGGGCGTGGTTGGTTTTTTTCCCGATGGTATATCATATAATACATAATATAATAATATCTTGTATAATATACAACGACGATGACAATAATCATAATAATAACAACAACAACAACAACAACGGGCGCGCAGTATACGACGCCAAAGGCGATACTACGGTTAGGGGTGGATCCACCGCTGCCGAGTATACTCGCGCGAGCGGAGTTATATATATTTTATAGTTGTTCACCTCAGTTTGAGAGGAGATAATAATATATAACATAATATTTTAATCTCATGACAATTATTATATTTTTCGAAACGAATGATTATTAGATTGTTTTTATTAAGTCACGTAAATAAAATTAATTATGTGCGCAGCTATTAATATATCAACTATATGTTCCCATAAATATGTACGTGCGTTTTATTAGTTATATACAATAGTAGTTATGACTCTTACGATAGGTTAAACCTTCACGATATGTACACATACTATCGATTAAAATTTGACGATATAGTCTTTTACGATCAAAAGAGAATGTATTATTTTTACTAATTTCTACACCAATTTTGTCGACACATAAACTTTAAATATACATTCAAGAAACTCTAGGAAGATTTCGTCAAGAGACCAGAGAGAGTTTTTGAGTGGTTTTGATAAAACAAAATAAAAAACGTTAATCACTCCGGAACTGTGTTGCCCTTTGTCCTTCGAAACGTCTAAGTACTTCAGTCATTTTATTAATCGCTGCTCATTTAAACGTCGACTTTTAATTAGCCGTAAACTTCGGATAAAATGATCCACCTATACAGAGTATATAAGAAACAGAGAACACCCGCCCGGGTCTTAAACTTTCTGAAGTATACACTTTGAATTCTGGAGATAATAATTCACTTGGAGAGCACTGACTTTTCCAGGGGGATAAAGAGGTTAAAAAACCTTTCACCCGCCACTTAATTGCCATGCATTAATATCGAAAGGAGTTTTTTGGAACTATAATTTATAAATTATACGGAATTATTAAACGGTAAAAGCGCAGTTCCTTACCTTTGTCACAGTCCTTGATCACCGTCTCCCCTTCGTCATCGTCTTTAACAGCAGCTGTGCCGTCGTCTTCGTCATTTACCGTCATGTCCTCTTCATCATCTCTACTCGTACAGTCTTCGTTTGCTGACTATAAAAATCAAAAACAACGTTTAGTTTTGAACAATACGATTCAACATTTTAACAGGTGAATAATAATGGTGTTTTCTTTATAACAACTTGTATGCACATAATTCTAACTGGCAATGATGAAACAAAATACGTATATTTTAGCTAACAGATAGGTAATATTAAGAGGACGCCATACCCGCATGTATTTCTCCGTTTAATAAGTACGTAACATAGCAAATTTACGCTCAATAAATCACGTTTAGTTCCGTTAGTTTAAAAATTAGAATGAATCGACCTATTATGAAACTATTATCTGAAATTATTATCTGTGTTCGTGGGTTGGTTTTTTACAATTATTATTCAGTTTTTAAGTGAGTTATGAGCATTTTTAATTTGCGTTATATTATATACATGTAACTTGTTAAAAAATAAAACAATTGTAAAAAATCTACATACGATCACAGGTAATTTTCTTACCTTTAAGTTTCGTAATAAATTGATTCACTCTAATTTTTAAACTAACGGAATTACCTAAACATGACCTGCTCAGCGTAAATTTACTATGTTACGTATATTTGTAAAACAAAGACAACACATGTAGGTATGGCTTCTTCTTAATAATTTTAAATTAATATTTAATTCATGATACGGATATTAACAAATATATCTTGTTTAATTTGTGGAAATTCGCATATAAACCTAATATGCACCTATATGATAAAACTACTTAAACGAAAACTGTTGAGAATAAATGTATCGTTAATTTACACTAAACATTCTATTTCAATTTATTTGAGTATAATAAATATATATTTTATTACTGTTTACTTATTTAAGAACATTATATTACTTAGGGTCTTTAAGAGGGTTAGGGTGTAATTTCCTGGTTCTTAATAGAAATATTAACTTTACGAGTAGAGTGTAAATATTTAAATGTTTACAGTTGTGTTTTTAAAAACTATAGTATTTCACAAAACTAGATTAATTCACGCCAATAATTATATTTGAGTGTTAACGTTAGATTAGGTTCATTTTCACGACTTGAGGAAAATATGTACTTATTTAATAAATAAATAAAAAGCTAATAAATACTGAATTCTTAAAATGTATGATATCATCTATAAATGCTAAATTATAACTAAATTATTCGTGTATATTGTAAATCATATTATTATATACATAATTTATATAACTATACACACAACTAACTATAATTACTTATATATTACACAAGTATATATTTTTGTAACGAAAATATAATTTATTATGTGCTAAAAACTCTTATATACACCAATTATCAAACATTTATTAGAAGTTATTCAAAATATTTTTTAAATTTTACCGTAGAAGAATCTTTAGTATCCTCAGCCGTTTGACGATTATCGATGAGCTGTCGTTTGGTATTAGTACCCGCCGATAGCAGTGGCTGATGGTTGTGATTAGTGTCCGGATTGATAATGATTTCGTCATCTTGTTCCACACACAAAGTCATATCCTGTTGGCGGTCTACAATGTCACAGTCTGCGCTTTCCACTAAAGAAAAATAATGAGAAAAATTGCGTAAGTATATATATATATATATAATATATCATGTGTATATCGTGTATATATATTATATGGAGAAGAGCATAGAAAAACGAAAAGAAAAACTAATCTTTAATCATCTCGAAACACTTTTATAGGTTATTACTCGAAAACGGTTCAGATAAATAGCTCCGATACCCAGTTAGAGGGGTGGCGGTACATTGGCGGCGGACGCAATAAAAAGGAAAAGCGAAATCGTCGTTCAGTATAGTCGTCGTCGTTGTCGTCGTGCTTTAACTATACACTACGGACATAAATCATATTTTAAATTAGTAACGGAGACGAATGGAGAGGGACGGGAATTTATGAGCCTTTTCATCGCGAGGTCCACCTTGGACGTATATTCATTCCTCCTCACCCCCCAGATAGCTGCCGACTGGAGCGGCCCGAAAAACTCTTTTGGTACATTAAGTTAAGTGACCCTCACCGCGACGACTGCTATAATACTATACTGTACACAGGGCTCGTCCGTCGTTTTGGCGACGATATTTCATACACTTTAGTGTGTTTCCTCGTTATAAATATATATATTTATGTTGCGCGTCCACGAAACGACATATTATGTTACGGCGAGAAGAGGGGCACATTTATCGACGAGCTGCTGGGTAGTTGCACAGTGCGTATATAACCTTATCACCGTATATACATATAATATTGCATATATTGTGTACACTGTAGTACTGTACACATTGTATACACTGCGACTGCAGTATATACACCCTCCGGCTATATGTTTGCACCGTCAATATTACTGCGCGTCGTTGCTCGACGCTCACCATATACTAAATAATGCAGTATAATATTATTATATAATATAGGTACCACTTTGATTGTTTTCGACTCTATATGGCTTTTTTGTTCGTTTTATAATATATGTATTATTATTATTACTATTATTTCACTGCACTGTGCAGCGAAGGCAAATGTCGTCGTTTCGTGCGCGACATGTGCCGCTGATGAGCATAGTAATTAAGTCCAGTAGGTATTGAAAGGGTTCCCCTTTATTCCGCGCGCGCTCTCCCGCGAGCGTAGTTCGAAACGGCGGCCGTGGAAATCGAAGAGCGGGGTGGGGGGGACTCCCGTCGAATTAGCAATCATGTCAATCCATCCGAAACCAATCAACCCCATGCGCTGTTGTTTTTCTACTCCACCCGCGCGCGCACACACGCGCACTAATGACACTGCACGACACGCCAGATGGCTTCCCCTCTGGTTTGCACTCCACCTACACCACCCCCGCGATACAGCTACTCATCATCATCTGGCGACCGTTTTTATCTAAACGCAATCCATATCGTACGAGCCCGATACCTTACAGAAGGTCACCTTTAGGCTACGACTGCTGGCAGCTAGATTGACACGACGACCGCACGTGACCCAACATGAATACTATACGATATCGCAGTGTCACAGATATAATAAAACAACTTTTTCTGCATGTTTTGTGTGTATGTAACGTAATACTATATGGTATTATTATTGTATACACACTAGGAGGTGACAACGATGGAAATGGTAAGGGATGGGAAAGAATTGAAAAAACGAATTCAAAAATAAAAAAGTTCCCGATTTGACATAATTTGACGCGATTTCCGTACACGCTCAAAAGTTATTCTGCAGAGTATTTGACATTAGGTTGGCATTGTGTGCGAGTTAGATTTGGACACGAATTTATAATAATATATAAATAATATAATAAATATACATATGTAACAGAGTTGTATATATTATATATGTATGTGCTACAATGACGTATAAGGCAGGCGTGATTTTCGACTGGGCAATGGGGTAAGAGAGGGTCGACTGCGAAAACTTTCCTTTAGAATATAATATATAAATACAAAACAGTGGTTGAACGGGGGGAGTTGGTACATCGTTTGTTGTGTTGTATTTTTTTTTTTTTTTTTTTGGTTTTACGCCCTCTACGCCGATCGAACAGTGCGTATATTATATACGTACGTATGATATGCAGTATACGCTAAAATAAAATAGTAAAAAGAACAATGCGCTCGACGTACATGCATAACACAATATATCATCTCATTTATAAATACGTATATATATATATCTACCTCTACGTGTAAAAATCCGAATTTCGACGACGGACAATGGCCAGTCTGGTATTATAAATATTATTGTTTTGGGTATATGTACATTGTATACTTAAAATGCATATTATATAATGTATATATATGTATACGTTTGGGAAAATATATAGTTGTCGTAAAACTATACATAATACCGACTGTTCCTCGTCTGTACGATGGAAAAATAAAATAATGTGTGACGCTACTCGCTAATCGGACAGGATGAGTGTATACAAAAAAAAAAAAAAAAGAATAAAAACGGAGCACAAATTAAGTCTCTTTCTACTATCCCCTCATCCCCCATCTAAAAACCGATGAAAAATCGTTCCGCCGGGTCAAAACACGCGTGTACAATAACGTATAACGTCCGTCCGTTCATCCACCGTCGTTGGTTTCGGTTTTTTTTCAAAATTTATTCGTTCACTGCCGCGCTGCAAACATCGCATATATTATATAAATAATTACACGTGATATTTACGTGCACGAGCTTGTTGTTGTAATAATATTATTGTGTTACTGTACATAGTTGTGCGTATACGTGTACCGTATATAATGATGATAATAAATTTTAAATAAAAAAACCGCACCCTTTATGTTTAGATGAACGTTTTGTGACGATATCGCCGGCACGCCGTAAAAAGTTTGAAACGCGGACAAAAATTAAAACGAATACGTGTGGAGAATGTGTAAACTGCGGTAATATAGATTTGAATTATCGCGATTGGTTAATACGCCGCTCTACCGTCACTTGCGAATGCTACATACTGTGTTTAAAATATATATAACAAGTGAATATAAATTGTAGCTCGACGAATGGCTAAAATTGTAAAATTGCACTCCATAATTGTGTAAATTACTGTAGACAGGAAGTGAAAATTGTGCACAAGAGATCATTAACACTAATTGTATATTGTAAGATTAATATGTAAAAATTAAATATAAGTAGGTATAAGTACTGATTAACAGAATACATATAATCGCTTTAGCAAGCTATTTAGTATTTATTACTAAGAGAGTAAGTACTATGCTATGAGATGATATATTTCACTTTCCTTCAAAAAGTATTTGATTTGATAAACATATTATAATAATAAATTTAATAACTTAATACAAAATTATGTCATGGTGTATATATATATATAATTGTAATATTTTATCTGAATATTTTTTTAGTTATACATATATCTACGTAATAGTTTTGGTAGTCATTTAAAAACATTATTATTGATTATGAAAACTTATCATGATAATTAAATACGAGCTTGAAAATTGTATTAAAAGAAAAATTACATTTCAGTCCCTCCTCCTCCACAACATTATATTATTCCACTGATGTTTACACTAGTGCGTTATATTTATATAGGAGTACCTAAATAAGAAATAATATTATACACCGACTCCGGTATATTTAAACGTACAAACTGTACAAAGATAAACACTACCGAAATCGAAGTCGACTGTAGCAATGTAGAAGAAGGCAATTCAAAAAAAATTTTAGATATTTGTTTGGACTCCGTGCGTCTCGGTGTATTACACACTTACGAAACTCACACAGTATTATTATTATTATTATACCAATATAAATTATAGCGATAACAATAATAATTATTATTGTTATTATTATTATACGCATTTGTGGCGACGAAGGCGGAGTGCAATTCGCGATAAATCCTATATTTTTCTCTTTCTCATCTCGGCTCATGTGTATAAAACGGTGGGTGTACAACACTTATAATAATCGCCACAGACGGATTTAGGCTTTCAGCGGAATGAAAAGCGAATCGGCGAAAAATCGTGTGTGTAGGGGGGAAGGGGCGAGAGCGTGCATCATATCGGTAGAAAAGAAAAAATGTCACGTGGACCGATGGTGGTAATAATAACAATTTCGTGGGACGAATATAGTGTACGGAGAGAACTCGTCTTCGTGGCCTACATGTGGACGGGTGTATATAAACGAGGAGAACAAGCGTGCCGGCGCATCGGACCTAAAGATTTTCCTTGAACCAATATCGTTATTGCAGCTCACACGTTATTATCCATCGTTGCCACTCTACGCACATAATAATAATATATTATACTATATTATACACATATACACTTTAGAAATGGCTTACGAAAGAAAAACCAATTTGAGTTTGAACGCGCTAGCGTATATGGTCAGGTGCTTAGCGTCCGTGACGACATAATACGCTGTACAAGTGACATGGGATCCGGAATTTAATAATATAGTATTTTTCATACATTTTATTATCATGTGGGCGATGACTGATGATGTCAATGAAATATTGAAATCATTACCCTCACGAAAGTCGTAAACAAGCTGACAGTGCCGTTTTACGATAGAGCTGCTTTTCATTACGCTAATACCTATATTATAATACATTTATATACATATAAATAAATTATGAACGTAATATTGGCTTTCCTAGATTAAAAAGATAATATGTATACTTTTGGTTTTTTTATTATTATTATTATTATTATTATTATTGTTATGCATCCTATACGTAATGCAAATTTATCGAAATTCTGTGATATATTATCAGTGACGGATCTATAAACTGAGCAAACTTTTTTGTTTTAAATATTATCACCATCATACATTATAAAAATATAATATTTTATAGCCATTGATATAAGACGTCTACAGTATTGAATAACTTTAAAATTAGGTATATACAAGATAAGCTAATCGAATTTTCCGAAACTCTCTGATTTGTTATTCAAGGTACTTAATAATTTATCCAGCAGGAGAACACTTAAATTTAATCAAATACTTAACATTTATAGCAATTAAGAGGGCTGTTTCAGCAACAGGAGGCGCGCCTTGAGGGAGAAGAATGAGCGGGGTATGTGTTTGTA